CCCCAGACCGTGGCCATTGCACAAAAGCGAAGTGACCCGGAGGCGCACGGAGACCTTTCGAGCCCCTTCCGTCTTCAGCCGCTGCCCCGCTTCCGGTCCCCGACCCCTTTTCTATAACGGATGCGGCCTGCCCGGGTGCGGACGATTTGATTTGAGTACAAGGTGCGGCTTCCCATTGCCAGGGCGACCGCCCATCCCCCTTCACTGGCGGGCCTGCGCAGGGCGGACTAGGGCACACGTACTGCTCAGAGGGGGCGGGGCTAGGCGGTGTCTCCACCAATCAGCCGCAGCGGGGCGCAGTGGTGCTGGACCCTAGCGACCAGCTGAGCCCTCGGTCCTCCCTTTTGAGGAGGCGCTGGGGAGGGGTGACCTGCCCAGCGGCGGATATGCTGAGGCTTGTAGCTCACTTGGGTACCTGTTACGCATCAGGCGACGTCTACAGTTGCTGACAACTGGGCAACGAGGCTGCTTCCCCTGGCCTCTTTGCCTAGGCCACCATTGTCCAGTTTTGTTTAATCCTGCATTTGAAATCCTAGGCTCAGGATTCCCGAAGGCCTTCTGGACTCCACGGCGACCTGTATTTCCTCCCACAAAATGTGTCGCACAGAGTAGATTTGGCAGTCCTTCCACCACAGTAGGAAAGAACAAGGACTACATCAGTCCCTGGTCCCCTGTTTCCACCACAGAATGTGGTCAGCATTATTGAATGATTGGGCTAGAATTTAGAACCAAAGAACGTACGAAATCTGAGTTCTTCCAGTGCAATTTTAGTCAGAAACCCAATTCAGAAAGTGTATTTACTAATAGGGAAAGGAATATCCATTCTCTCTTGTCAAAACTGCATTTTTAATGACTCCTTTTTTTAGTCTATGGTTTCTATTTCTTAGATCCACTGCAGATGTGACTGTCCCTCATTGCAATTACCATTGTATGACCCACTCTTCGTCTCTCCCAGGATCACTGCAACAGTCTGCTCACTCCCTTCTCCTTCCTCTTTGCCCACAATGCAAATTTGATCATGTTTCTCTCCTGCTTCTAAACCCTCCCTGGGTTCCCAGTTCCCTGAAGATACTATTCATCTTTTTATGCCTGAAAATCCAGGCCCTTTCACAAGCTCCCTCTATCGCTCACCACTGTCTCCATCCCACCTCATCCACATCCTGTGGCCATGGAGCCATCTGGTTTGGTTTGGTTTGGTTTGGCTTTGGTACTGGTATTGCGAATCGAACTTACGACCTCGCGCTTGCCAGGCAGGTGCTGTATCACTGAGCTATGTCCCCAGCCCAAACCATCTATTTTCTGACATCCACATTCTCCTCCTCTGGTCCTTTGGGGTGCCCTCTTCACCCCTCGCATTTCTGTTTTCTACCAGGTGATCCATTATACCAGGTCAAAGCCAAGGAGGGACTGGGGACTGCCGGTTAGGGTGCTTGGTTTGTCCATTGGCACACTGCTGCCAACTAGTGGCTGTTTGGTGAATATGTCAGGGCTGGTTTTAACCTCATCCTCCCAGCTTGAGAGACTAGCTTGCTGTGGAAGGGGTCTTGACTGAGGTTATTACAGTAGTCGTTTGGTCACTCTGTCCATGGCACCCCAAGTGACCTTAGTAAAGCAGTGCTCTGATCCCACTGCTCTATGGCTTAATGCTCCATGATAAACTCCAAATTCTTCAATCATATTCTGGCCCTTACAGACCATATCTACCAATGTGCTCTTTCAACACCCTAAGTTTCAGCCAAGTTGACTATTCAGTATTCTTAAACAGCTCCTCCATCTAACTGTCTTACCCTAATACATTTTTTGTCCTTTCTCCTGGTCTGCTTTGCTCTATCTGTAAGGTTGTCTGGTCTTAAGATACCAAATTAACTGTCACTTTCTCTATGAACCATGTGCTCATTCCTTGAACTGTTACTAACTTTTCCAGGCATTCTTCTCCGTTATATCGTGTCTTGGAAGCAGTGTGCTTACTACAGTCAGAAAAAGGGCCGGGGATGTAGCTCAGTGGCATAAGTGCCTGCCTGGCAAGCGCAAGGTCCTGAGTTTGATTCCTGGAAACAAAAAAAGTCAGAAAAACTGATTTCATCTTTAGTTTCCTCATCTTTTGTGATATTAAAGTAAAATAAGATACATGGAATACAGGTGTCCGTGGGAGTTGCACAATCTTTCTCCTTCCACATGGTTCAGAAAGTCTGAGATTCCTAGACAGAATCTTCCGTTCTCATTTTCATTCTCATATCACCTTCCTTGATTGAGCCCAGAGCCTTTCCTCTGAGCTTCATCTCCAGACCATTTTTATTTCAAGACAGAGTCTTGTCAGGTTGTCCAGGCTGTCCTAAATTGTGACCCTCCTGCCTCAGTGTCCCAAACTACTGGAAGTATAGGTGTGCATTGCCACACCGGTGATCTCTGGCTCTGAGGGTTGGCATCCTATACCACCTTGTGCAAGGTTCTCAGTGCAAGCTATTTTCTATTATGAAAGTCAGATCTTTCCTTTAGTTTCACTTATTCATTTACTGAGTGCCTCCCAGGTGCTAAGGATATAGCAGTAAGAAGAAAAGAAAAATTTATATTCATGGAGCTTACATTCTATTGATTGCAATAAGCGACCAACAAATGTATAATAAAGTGTTAGATAGCAATTTGTGTTATGGGGAAAAAAGAAGCCAAACCAAGGATAAAGAGGATGATGAATTATGAAGGCTACAAGGGAGGCATGGGTCAGTTTTAGGCCATTTGAAGGCTTTTTTTTTAATGTTTGCGGTACCAGGGATTGAACTCTCAACCTTGCACTTGCCAGGCAGGCGCTTATGCCACTGAGCTATATCCCCAGCACCTTGAAGGCTTTCTTGAGGAAGTCATATTTGAACAAAGACCTGAAGGAAGTAAAAGAACAAATCATACACATATCTAGGGGGAAAACCTTCTAAAGAATTTGAAGGGTGCTGAGGCAGAGCCATGTAGGTATATTGGAAAGATTAGCAAGGAGGCCCACAGCTGGGCCAATATACATGAAATTGGAGAGGTGGCAGGATGCAGGTACATGGGACCTCATGGTCACATGGAACTAAGAGTTTTATTTCAGTGCTAATAAGTCACCAGTGGAGAACACTGGTCAGAGAAATGACAATCTGATTTACATTTTTAAAGGATCTTCTGTCTGCTGTAAGCTGTAAGGGAGTGTTACAGTTTATATCTAGATGTCCCCTCAAAGCCCCACATGCTCATAGGTGGGGCTGCTGGGAGATGAGACCGTGGAGGCACCTTGCCCTTTGGTCCACTGATGAGTTTTTTGCTAAATGTGCTATTAGCAGGTAAGGTCCAGTCACAAGAAGCGGGTGGCTGGGGGCATGGCTCAGAAGAATATATCTCCCTCCCTGTCTCTAACCTGTGAACTCTGCTCCCTGGCCACCATGATATAAGCAGTTTTCCTCGCTGGCACCACTTCCACCATACTTTTTTGTGTTTTTGAACCTGCTGAACATGGACTGAAACTTCTAAAATGTGAGCCAAAATAAACCTCTCCTTTAAGTTGTGGGTGTCAGGTATTGTGTCTCAGGGATGAAGAAAGTAAGACAGAAGCAAAAGCAGAAACGGGAACACCAGTCACGAGGTAGTTGCTGTTGTCAGGGGACACGTGATGACGGCTTGCCCTGTGTAGAAGCAGCAAGTAGATGTGGTCAACATGGAGATGCATCTTAAAGTTTCAGCCAACATGATTTGCTGATGAAATTGAGGTGAGTTTTGACAAAAAGAGAAAGAAAAGATAGCTGGGTTCACTGGTATTAACTGAGAATGGAACACTGATGAAGTTGGAGTCATTTGGTTCTGGATGTACTGAGTTGGATGCCCAATAGATACTCCAATAAGGACATGGAGCAGGCAGTTGGATATGCTAATCTGAGGTTCACATAAATCTGTATGGAAGATTTGGGGAAGAAGGGATTTAAATCACAGCAACATAATCTAAAATTGAATTTTAGACATCTAAGTCCCTTGGCCTCGTCCAGGCTCAAACTCTAGGCCTGAATGCCAGCCAGTTTGCCCTACTCCCCCCCTAGTTATTAAAGGCCTTGGCTAGTGCTCTGCAATGACACCTGGTCAGACAAGAACATGTCCATTTAAATTACTGGACTGTCCTTCACCTGTGTTCATCAAGGAATCACAGTTATCTCCTTAACAAAATTTGCAGTTTCTTACAAAAGTTATCCTACACATTTGCATTAAACAGTTGGTAAGGAGAAAAGGTCAGGTCATTTATTATGTAATAGTGGCTTTCTTTCCTTCTTAGATTCACTGTGTTTGTTCCATTCTTCTAATGGACTGGAATGGACTGGCCTCCAGTGCCTCATAAGCAAAGGACTTGATTTTGATTTAAGGTTCAAGAGAAAAACGATGTTGACTCCAACGCAGGATATCAGCTGTTCCATCTTTCTTCACTTCTCAAAACATGTTACCCATATCTTTCTCCTAGAGTAGTTATCTTCAAACTTTCCTGCTCATGGACTCCCTAAAGCAATTTTGGAGAACCGTACTGCTTAGCCACTGACATTAAAATTTTTCTTCTTAAATTCAAATATTTGCAGGAGATTTGATTTTTTTATATATGATATTGGCATTTAAAAGTAACTCTTCTTCAAAACATATGCAATAAGATACCATAGTAATATGATAGCCACATCCAGAAGATATGAGATGAGAAGGTATGAGCTGTTTTGTTAGATTTACACCTAAGTATTTCAGTTTTCAGGATATTGATGTGAATGATAACATGTTTTAATGTCAATTTCCATTTGTTCATTGTTAGGGATACAGTCTGGATGTTGAATGACCCCTAAAGGTTTGTGTGTTAAAGGCTTCGCCTTCGAAGAGGTGTTATTATTGGAAGGCAGTAGAAGCTTTGAGAGGTGGGGCCTTGTGGGAGGTCCTTAAGTTATTGGGGGTGTACCCTGCAAGGCGACTGTGGGACCCAGGCCACTTTCCCTTTCTCTTTTGCCCCCTGGCTCATGTGTAAGTGAGTTTGCTCCAAAATGCACTTCCTGCCATTGCAGTCTGGCAGTGCCCCTAACAGAGGCCCACAGCAATGGGTTCGCCCAGTCTTGAACTGGAACTTCTACAACTGTGAGCCAAATAAATCTGTCCTTTTGTAAGTCTCACAAGTACTTTATTACGATAATAGAAAGCTTACTCACACAGCTAGTATACAGGAAAGTGCTTGCCTTTGTATATTAATCTAATACCTCTAGCCTTACTCACTGACTAGTTGCAGAAGTTTTTGGTGGTAGTGGTATTGATTCTTTGGGATTTTCTACAGAGCCAAACTTATCTTCTGCAAACAAAGATACTTTTATTTCTTTCCTCTTAATCCATATGTATATATCTTCTTTTCTTATTGCATATGCTAGGACATTTAGTACAATGTTGAAAAGGAGTTGTGAGAGGAGACAGCATGGCCTTGTTCCTGACTTTAGCAATAAAGCTTCAAACTTCTTGCCTCAAGTGTAATAACCATAAGGCTTTCATATATGTTCTTTATGAAGTTGAGGAAATTTACCCCTCTTCTAAGTTTACTGAGAGTTTTTGTCATGCATGGATGTTGGGTTTTGTGAAATATGCTTTCTGGGTCCACTGATATGGGGGTATGATTACTCTTCTTTAGCCTGCTAATATGATGGGTTGAATTAATTGATTTCTAAGTGTTGAACTAGGGATAGGAAGGAGAAGGGAAGGGGATGAAAAAAGAATGTGTCATGTACATGTACCAACTTACCATGACGAATGTAATCATTATGTACTGCAAACATGTACTAATAAAAAAATTTAAAACATAAATGTTGAACTAGCCTCACATACCTGGGATAAACCCCACTTATTCACGGTATATAATTCTCTTTGTACATAACTGGGTTTGATTTGCTATTATTTTGCTGAGGATTTTTGTGTCTATGTCTTTTCTTGTAATGTCTTGATATTGGTTCTTTACCAGGTGGACTGACCTATACCTTCATTCCCAGTGGTTTTGGGCCATTTATCATCCGGTTTGGATTGGGTTATTGCAGTTTCCCATTAACCTTAACAGAGCATGTTAATACTAAGAGATGACCTAAGGCGTCTCCTTCACTCCAAATATATTTTTCCTTACCTCCACTGGGGAGTAATCCAGTTTCTCTCTGCCAGGGAGTCTGGCTCAAACACCATGCCAACACTGTAACTCCCTGTTTAGCTTGTTTACTCAGAGGCATGAGGAGCCCAAAATGACCAGGGGCAAGTATTAGCTTCCAGTTCAATGGAATCATTGTTGTGTTTCCTGGACGAAGTCTTTACCCATCTGGAACTAAGACTTCTAGGCCAGCAGGGCATAAGGTCATAGGAACAGAAAGCGAAAATATTGCTGGAGGATCACTACACATAATGGTAAGTGGTACCCTTCCCACTCCCAGCCCTTGATTCCTGGGCCCACAAATTCTGGCAATGAGAAGAAACAATACCATATACTTGATGCTAATTCAAAGCATATACAGCCTTCTGAAGAACCTTCCTCCAGCCCTACAACGTATCGCCACCTAGGTGGTACTTTTTTTTTTTTTGGTTTTTGGTTTTTGGTTTTTCTCCGGGACCGGGAACCGAACTCACGACCTTGCGCTTGCCAGGCAGGCGCTTTTGCCGCTGAGCTAAATCCCCAGCCCCCCTAGGTGGTACTTTAATTGCATCTTCAAACGGCTTTTCCACAGTTCTGTCAATCCTGCTGTTTCTGGATGGTGGGAAACACGACAAGACCAGTGAATTCCATGAGCACGAGCCCATTGCCACACTTCTTTGACTGTGAAATGTGTTCCTTGGTCAGAAGCAATCGTGTGTGGAAGACCATGATGGCAGATGAGGCATTCTGTAAGGCCGCAGATGGTAGTTTTGGCAGAAACATTATATACAGAAAAGGCAAATCCATACCCAGAATACGTATCTATGTCAGTAAGGACAAAGAGCTGCCCCTTCCATAATGTAAGCAGGCCAATATAATCAACTTGCCACCAGATCACAGCCTGATCATCTCGAGCAGTCGTGCCTTATTGAGTACTTGGAGTTGGTCTCTGCTGTTGGCAGATTTGCGGTTCAGCAGTGGCTGTAGCCAGGTCAGCTTTGGTGAGCTGCAGTCCATACTGCTGAGCCCATGCATAACCTCCATCCCTGCAAATGATGGGCACTTTATTCACGAGCTCATTGGGCAATTACAGGGTAGCTGAGGAAACAGATTTATTGCTATTCACAGGATGGATCATTCTACTTACTTGATTATTAGTCTCTTCTACAGTCTCCTTTTGGTGAGCATTTACATGGGACATATATATCTTCACATCTTCATCCATATAGTGAGGTCTATCCACATTCTTCTTCCTCAAATGTCTTCCATAAATGTTCCAGTCATGTTCCCTTCCAGTCTCTAACCATCCACCCAAACTACTTGCTACTGCCCATGAATCATATATCGTCCCCTATCTGGATTTTTTTCTGCCAAGCAAAATGTATGAACAGGTGCACTGCCTGAACTTCTGCCCACTGTGAAGATTTCCCTTCACCTCTGTCCTTCAGGGATGTCCCAGAAAGGGGCTATAGTGCTACAACTGTCTACCTTTGGGCAGTGCCTGTATAATGTGCTGAACCATTTGTAAAACAGGACCTAGTCTTCTATTCCTCTGTTAACATATCATAGGGTAAAGCCATGGGGCCACAGATGCATGCTGAAGGACAAAAAGCAATGTAGCACAAGTAAGAATCATGAGGGCTGGGGATATAGCTCAGCGGCACAAGCGCCTTCCTGGCAAGCACAAGGTCTTAAATTTGATTCCTGGGACCAAAAAAAAGAATCATGGGTATTTGGGCCACTTCTTCATGTAACTTACACCTTCTGGACCTGTGCAGGCTCGGTCATACATATACCACTTCCACTTAATGATGCACTGTTGCAGTGTACACCCAGTTTAACAACTCGGTGGGCCACATGGTGCCTCATTCATGATGGGCAGCTCAGGTCACATGATAACCTGGTATCCATGGTCAAGCATTCCATTTCCACTATGGCTCAGGAGCAGGCCAAGAACTGTTTCTTAACAGGAAAAGTTGTCTGCAGATAATGGTACAACCTTGCTCCAAAATTCTAAGGGCCTCTGCTGTGATTCATCTATGGGAGCCTGGTAGAGGCTCCAAAGAGCATTCCTATCTGCCCCTGACACCTCAGGTACCATTGGATCTGCCAGGTCATATGGCCCAAATGGAAAAACAGCCTGCACAGCAGCCTAGACCTGTTGCAGAGACTTCTCTTGTTCTGGGTTCCACTCCAAACTAGCAGCTTTCAAGTAACTCAGTAAATGGGCCAGAGCTACACACCCAAGTAAGGAATGTGCTTCCTCCAAAATCCAAATAGATCCATGAGGCATTGTGCCTCTTTCTTGGTTGTAGGAGGTGTCAGATGCAATAACTTATCCTTCACCTTATAAGGGATATCTCTGCATGTCCCCACACCACTAGACTCCTAGAAATTTCACTGAACTAAAGCCACCAAATACTTTACCAACAATTCCAGCGTGATTACTACCTTTTGCTCACTTGGTCTAATCCGCATAATGTCATCAACGTAATGGACCAGTGTGACACCTTGTGGAAGAGAAAAATGATCTATGTTGTGACACAGTGCTAGAGGATTCACATATTCCTGAAGTAGGACAGTAAAGGTGTACCACTAGCCTTGCCCACTGAAAGCAAATTTCTTCTGCTGGGCCTTATGGGTAGGTATGGAGAAAAAAAAAAATTGCCAAGTCAATAGCTGCATTCCAAATACCAGGTGATATGTTAATCTGCTCAAGCAAAGAAACCACTTCTGGTACAGCAGCTGCAATTAGAGTCCCAGGTTGATTAAGCTTATGGTGATTAAGCATCATTCCCTAAGATCCATCCATCTTCTGCACAGGCCAAATAGAGAGTTAAATGGCAAAGTGATGGGAACCACCACCCCTGCAGCTTTCAAGTCCTTGATGGTGGCACCAACCCCTGCAATCCCTCCAGAGATGCCTTCTTATTGTTATAGTTGTTTGTTTTGTTGTGCTTTTTTGGAAAAAAGTATAGCAAAATTTCATAACAAAATAATAGGAGAATAACATAGTTAATATATTGAATATTTGCTATCTTTAAAGTAGTTAATCAGAGTACTAGATATGGGCTTAAAATTTTTTCCAATTGATATTAGCACAAACCTTTCTTTTCAATGAACTAAGAGAAACTAGCAGTATAACTATCTTGTATTTTGGTTTTTTCCTTTTCCCTTGCTTTCTTTCCCCTTTTTCCCATCCTAGTTCGTTTTTCCTTTTGAACAATTTTTTCCCATTTCACAGTATCTATTGTGCATTTTGGACCTTATTTACTCTTTCAGTTTCTCACACCAGGGAGGCAATACAATGCTTACACACATGGATCTGATTTATTTCACTTATGAGTACGGATCTCTAGTTGTATTCATTTACTTATAAAAGTCTCAAGTTTATCCTTCTTTATGGCCGAGTAGTATTCTATTGTGTAAAAAGACATCTTTTTTATCCATTCCTCAATTGATGGGCATTTGGGTTGTTTCCAAGATTTAGCTGTTAAATTGTGCTGCTATAAACATGGGTACACATATATCACTGTGGTATATGTTTTGGTTTTTGACACAGGGTCTTGCTATATAGTTCAGGCTCACCTTGAACTCACTATGTGGTCGGTCCAGCTGGCCTTGAACTTATAGTGATCCTCCTGCCTCAGCCTCCCAAATGCTGGGACTACAGGTATGTGCCACCACCTAATTATGTATTCTAGAACTGGGGAAATGACCACAGGATGGATTCAGGACATACCGGACCCGCTGTGAGTCAGACCTTAGCTAAAACTCCACTGACCACCTGACCTCTCTAAGCGCCTACTCTTATTGGAGGGCCACAGTGATTTTTTATTTTTTTTAGTCTTTTTGAGACAGGGTCTCACTATGCAGTTCAGGCTGGTCTTAAGCTCATTTTGTAAGCCAGGTTGGCCTCAAATTTGCAATGGTCCTCCTGCCTCAGCCTCCTGAGTGCTGGGATTACAGGCATGCACCACCACACCTGGCTCACAGTGATGTTTTTAATCTCCTGTAATCAGCATTAATTTAGAACCAGTCTCCAGTAGTCCCTGAAATTTCTGATCATTTCCTTTTCCCCAATGTACAGTTACCCTGATAAAAGCCCTTAGATCCCTTTGGCAAAGGATGGGAGAAAGATTTAGTGTGACTTCTTAGTAGTGTAGCAGAGTTCTTCCCCATGGAGGCCCAGCCGCTCCTTCATTCGAGGTGTTCTGGGTCTAGAAATGTTCAGCCGGGCGTGGTGGCGCACGCTTGTAATCCCAGTACTCGGGGGCTGAGACAGAAGGATCATTGTGGGTTCAAGGCCAGTCTGGACTACAAAGTGAGTTCAAGGCCAGCCTGAACTGCATAGCGAGACTCTATCTCAAAAAGACAAAAAACAAAACAAAACAAAAACCTGGTTCAAGTTGAGTAATTGGTAGAGGAAATGTGATTCTCTGTTGCTACAATTTGAGGTAGATTTTTGTTCATTTTCCTTAATTTTTTTCTGTTGTTAGAAATCCAGTAAAAATTTAGTAGGCTTCCTAAGTAGTCCATTTTTGGGAACACCATAACTAGTCAGCCAAAGGAACAGGTCTACACATGTCAGACCATTCCGATCATTCCTCTGCTTCTGCTCTCATATAAGTATGCCCATCTTGCCTTTGGTGGTTGAGTGCTGCTACTTGGCCCCTGCTACTCTGGAATCCAATTAAACCTATCAGCTTATTTCTCAAATGAGTGACTGTGGCCCCTAATATAAGGCCTGGGATGCAGAGAAAAGCAATGACAGAGTTCTTTGAGAATGCTGGTTCTCCACTCACAAATCTGTTTCTTAAAGTATTAGTGAAGGGTACATTCCCTGAACCTCCCCTGTGTGGAGGATTAGGTTTTACCGGGCAAATGCACTCCAGCATTCCCATTTCACTGAGCCTTTGAATACCCTCATGAGCACTAAACCAAGGAATATCAGGCATCTCCAGCTCATTCATAGCGTGCCATCTCTTGCTACATATTTTGCCAATGAACCAAATAAACTATTAGCACTGTTTTTTCTTTAACTCCACAAGCCATAACATTATATTCAGAAATTCTACTTAATGGGCTCATATCAAGAAACTCAGCCTGATCCAGGTTTACATGCCCTCCACTACTATCCCATACCTTTGAAATCCATTCCCATTCTTGTTCCTCAGACCTGTGCTTGTAAGAATTAGAAAACTCAAGAAGTTCTTTGGCTGTATAGTGGCACTCCTCCTGGGGCATGCTGTGTTCTTCACCTTTAGGAGCCATCTGAGCTCTGAGTCTGGTCATAGATCTAGAGGCAAAAGTGAGGGTGGGTTGTGAGGAGTGTCAGCATTATCTTGCTTGGTAAATGCATCTGGGATGGTTATTACCATTTCCATGGGGAACACAGGATTAGTTTCCTCAGATATATAAGGGGAAACTAACACCACAGGAGGTGGGTTACAGATGTCTCTGCCACTAAGGGTGGGAAAATATCTCCCTCTGCCAAAATAATCCAATCAGGACTTAAATGTCCCTGGCCTCATTAAGTTCCTTCCAAATATTTCTATCCCATTTTATGGGAATCCATTCCTTTCCTGATCGGTGCTCTCACTTTTACTTCAGATACCGTTCAGGACTGAGTATGAAACTTGTGCTGTAATTCAGTTAGTCAATGTATGCGGGCTTATGTTTTGGTTTTGGCAACTACCCTGTGGCTAAAGGAGAGAAGATTCTGCTTCAAGATACCTTAGAAGCCTTTAGATTCTTTACATATGTTTGGAGCTGGGAATGTGAGTCTTTAAGCTTCTTATTTTCCTTTATTAATTTGTCTTTACGTTTTGGAGCCTTTAAACTGTTTATGCATTTCTTAAATTCATGATTTTCCTTTACTAGTTTTTCAAGAGATGCTAAGAACTAGCCAGCATCAACCACACTTCCAAAAATGCTCAGAAGTATTGTACACAGAGGCCCTGAATTCCTTGTATCTCGCAAGTGGCAAACAGGATAATGAAACGGAGCTATGCTATATATTGCTTTAATCAGCTCACACATGGACTATCAGTACCCTCAGAAGGAGGGACCATCTCAATTTTAGGTCTCAAATTAGAAAGCCAACTCTAGAAACCATTAAACTAGTTACAGAGATTCATCCTCACAATTCTGTCTCTAGGTCCACTCTTGGTATCAACATTTGTATTAGTTCGGGTTCTCTAGAGGAGCAAATTCAGTATCAAATATATATCTGATTACACAAGGGATTTACGAAGCAGGCCTACAAGATCAAAACTGGAAGTCTTAATAACCATCTGCCAGAACAGAGACAGAATCCAGAAAGGCCATCTGTGCACCGGAGAGCCAGAGGATCCAGAAGCAAAGGTTGAAGGCCCAGAAGCTCACTGCAGTCACTAGTATGAAAATCAGAGTCTCTGCTGGAAGCCTAGAAAGTCTGTGTTGGAAGCCTGAAAGAGCTAGAGACCAATGTCCGAAGGCAATGTTAAACACCAGCTTCGGGGCTGGGGATTTAGCTCAGCGGCAAAGCACCTGCCTGGCAAGCACAAGGTCATGAGTTCAGTTCCCGGTACCGGAGAAAAACCAAAAAAAAAAAAAAACACCAGCTGCCTCCAAAGATTTCCTAAAAATCCAGACATTGGATGCATGTTGTATTCCGATAATTCCCTCTCAAGTGAGAAGCCTCATTGTGAACATTTACCCCTTATATCACCAAGCTGCACCAGTTTGGGGAAAAGGCTGTAGTATGTAAAATGAAACAGTTCTTGCTAGCCGTTTTAATGTCACTGGTCTTTAACTTGGCCTGTCTGGGCTATTTTGACTTCTTAACTAGTTTCTGGAGTTCTTATAAGGTTTTTAGACTCTGTAATCATTGTTAAGTTTGTGTCTGTGGAAGAATTAAGTCTGAAGCTTTCTACTGTGCTTTTTTGCTAATGTCACACCTCCCAGATTCGTTTTTGAAGAGTGTTATACATGTGGAAGCTGAGAATTAGGATCTGAGTATTCCCTTAAGGCTAAATATGCTTGCATACCACTGGGAAAGTTTTGTAGACACCCAGGCACATGTATACAAGTTAAAGGACCACTTTCCTGAATGTCCCAGGTTGGTGTCCCTCTGCTCCCCTTAGGTTGTTCCTTCATCTGGACACGTTGTCAAGGTGCACATCTGCTTTCTGTACTGAGTCTCTTCCATCCATGACCCTGGGCACCTGGACCAGAGGATGTATTTGACAGACTTTCAATAGTTTGATGATTAATTTTTTTGTGTTACCTTCGCTAGGTTAAGGATACCTAGATACCTGTTAAAATTTTACTTCTGTGTATATGGGAGTGTTTCCAGAGGATATTAGCATTTAAATCAGTACAGGTTCACCCCCACTAATGTGGGCAAGGTATCATATAATCTGTTGGGGTACACCCCAATACAACAAAAAGGTGAAGGGCATATTCATTTTCTCTGTCTTTCTGGTTCTGTCTCTCTCTCTCTCTCTCGCCATCCCTCTTACCGTTTAGATCTAAATTATTTCCCTAAGGTCTCCTGTGCCCTGTGTTGAAAGGTGACTGGATTATGGGGGTGCTATACTCATCAGTACATTAATCTGTTGATGAGTCCCTGGCTAAATGTGCTATTGGGAGATGGGTCATGGGAGGCGTGGCCTAAAAGGCTGTATTCCTGTCCTGGCTCCTCCATTCTCTCTACTTCCTGGTTGTCGTGTGTTAAGAAGCTTTCCTCCACTGTACCCTTCCGCCATGCCCTTTCTGCCTGGAGTCAATCAACTGTGGACTAAACCATGAGCTGAAATAGACCTTTCCTGCTTTAATTTGCAAGTGTCAGGTATTCTGTTTCAGTGAAGTGAAAGTCTCAGTCTCTCCCTCCCTCCCCTTTCCCTGTCTCCCTTCCTCCTTCTCCCTCCTCTCCCTGTTCTCCTCCTCCTCCCCTCCCTGCTTATAGAGCTGGGGCATCCATTTTCCCTTACCCTTAGACACCGGCACTCCTACTTCTCAGGTCTTCAGACTCCAGAAATTATGACTGAGAATTATTCCATTGGTTTCCCTGGTTCTTAGGTCATTGAACTTGGACTGAATCACACTATCAGTTTTCCAGGCTCTCCAGCTTGCAGCCAGTATATTATGGGACTTCTCAGTCTCTATAACCATGTGAATCAATTCCCACAATAAATCTCCTCACATATCTATATAAATGTTCTGTTCCTCTGGAGAACCCTAATATAGATTTTCTTACTGAGAGTGGTTCTAGAGAAATAAAATTTTTGTTTTATTCACTGAAATATGAATTAAAAGATGGTCCGCTGTATTAGTCTAGTTTCCATTGCTATAACAAAATACTTAAGACTGAATACAAAGGAAAGAAGTTTATTACTGAAGGGCTCTATGGTGGTCCATCATAATGTAGATCTGGGCCCAAGCTAAATTACACTACCAGCACTTTCCATTCACTCTCTTCTTTAGGCTAGTTGCTCTTTGAAGACCACTGGAACACTCTCTCCCACAGGGATCCCCAGTAGAGACCACAAAGAAATTATCAGTAAGTGTTTGGTGAACTTGAGTTTTCTTCCTTACATTACCTAGCTACCAACTACAATACCTTGAAAACACTTTTCTATTTAATTTTTCATTATTTCTTCTCTGAGGTAATAAATCAGGGATCCTGTAATCTTAGTTTCATTCCTTTAGGCAAGTCCCTACAAAGCTTTTATTTAGATCACTGAAGAAAAGCAAAACAGATATGCCTGTCTTCAAAATGCAGTTGTGGGAAGAATAAAGAAGACACTATTAAGTTATAGTGAAGTGTTGTGCTTCTTGGCCAAAAGCAATAGCATATGTCAGTGGTAAGTGTGAATAATATACTGAGGTTCTTTCAAGAACTCTGAAGTAAGACTGGTAAGGCTGCCCAGTACAGTAGACATCGATATTTGGTGCTTGTCATCTAATCACCCTTTTCAAGGAGGACCACTCTCTCCCTACTCTCAGTCTACATGTTTATGGGGGACCCCACCCCATCACCTCATCAGATCAATGAGGTGCAAAGATTCTCTTGTGGGAAAAATTGAGAGAGAAGTCATATATTTAAGCTGTACTTGAACTAAAAGTGGTAGCTCCAGCCTCATGTACCATAAGAGGAAAGAAAACCTTTCTTTGAATGGAGCCAACAGATCAATAGATAGACAAAAGGAAGGTTTGAGTCTATAGTCCCCATGCCTGAGCCCAGTTTCCATTATATGAGTCAATAATTTCTTTTCCTTAAGCTGAAATTGATTACCTAGCTATAGAATCAAGTTCCAATGCATATAAACAGACTTTGATAAAGTTACTACAAAAATTTTTACTTCATTGTCCCCAAGTCATTCGACTTTTCAGGAGGTTAGTCAGTCATGGACAGGGTTTACATACCTGAGAGTAAGGACACAGGTTTACGTTTAGAGCCAGACATGCATGCAGTTGACTCTGATTTCCTAACCTGTTCAAACATCAGTTTTTTCACCTGTTAAATTCAGATAATAATGATGTCAGTGTGATTTTTTTTCATATATGAGGGCAGACTTTATTAGCCCAAAAAACTACTTATAATATCTTGGGTTTTTTTTTTTTGGTACTGGGAATTGAACACATGATTTCAGGCTTGCCAGGCAAGCACTTATGCCACTGAGCTATATCCCTACCCTAATACCTTGGGTTTTAAATTAATAACAGATTTATTAATCAGAACTCAAAATCTTGGTTTTAAGCCATGAAAGTTCAATTTATAAGCAACTTAGTCTATTTATAAACATATTTATGTAAAATAATAATTAAGTTTAAGGAAATCTTTTATTGAATTTGTAAATCCCGTATATATTCTTTTTTACATTTTTTTTGTATGCCTGGCCAATCAAATTTTCCTCCCTAAAAAGCAAAATGTTCCTAAGTACTCAACAAAAATTTATATATAAAATATATAAATCTAATAGGTCTAAGGGGCTGGGGATTTAGCTCAGCGGCAAAGCGCCTGCCTGGCAAGCGCAAGGTCGTGAGTTCAGTTCCCGGTACCAGAGGGAAAAAAAAAAAAAATCTAATAGGTCTAGTTGTCAAATTATTCAATACAATTTATGGACTTCATCAAATTTTCTTATATCTTTCAGGTCTAGTCTTTAATATGCCATATTATTTTAAAATTACACTTTAAGTACAAAGCACATACATACAGTTATTTTAAAGACAAAATTATTAATATCATAGTTTTGATTTCTTTATCTTTTCTGTATTTAATCCTACACCTTTTCAGGTTTGAAAAACTCTTTAGTCACTGAGAAGAAGTTCTACACTCTCTAGGGAGTTCAGATTACTGGGTCAACAATTCACAACCATGATAGAGTTACCCTGTCAGGATGGCCAATTTGAGGACAGCTCAACAGTTCCTGGCTGTAATTAAGTTTTCTTCTCTGGATGGCTGAGGTTGACATCTTAAACAAGTTGAGGTATTGGGTTGAAAATCTATTAACCCAGTAAGGTCATTATCAGTCAGAAATTTGACACTGGGGAGCAGGACCTAAGCTTTGCAGGCTTCCAGGATGATTCTTCTACTTGAGCCGCTTGTAGATACAGTGAACCCTGTTTGTATCACCATGACAACAGAGGACTTCTAGTACATATCCTCCCCAAGGCTTCAAATAACACCCTTCTGTAAGTCATCTGATCAAAGTTTGCAACCTCACCCACCTTGTAGGGAGGGAAATTGTGTTACAGTTTGAGTGGATTCTTAAGCCTCTTAGGATATTTTAATGCCATTGTTCTTTAAAAACTACTGAGACCTTTCCATCTGTCTTTTAAGATTCGAGAGTATACTTTTGTAAAAACTTATCAAATTATACATTTAAATATGTATTATTCATTGCATATCAATTATACCTCAATAAAGCTGTCAAAACAACAAAGAACCCCTCAAAGATTTCTTTCCAGTCCATGCTCCATGTCCATGATGCACTGGCTAAGAGTATTAACCTTATTGTCACTCTGGGGCCTTGGCTGGTGGAGAACGCACTACTCAAAACCATGCTGACTGCTGTGGTGTAGGAAAAGTGCGGCAAAGCACACAGGTTCCAACAGCTTCCACCCAGAAGTAACAAGGCTACAAAACCTTCTGTGGCTTTGTTACGTGCTTACAATTTGAGAATTATATATTCCTAGTTTATTATAAGTCATCATTATGTAACTCTTTTTATCCTTAGTAATGCTTTTTCTCTTATGTTTTCTATTCTTAAAATATCTAAACAGTAGATCTCTTCTGATTAATATTTTTCTGGGATACCTATTTAAATCCTTTTGCTTTCAACCCTTCTGTCTGCTACTTTGGATCTTGAAAGACCTCTGAAGGCTCATGTGTTGAAGGTTTTCTCCCCAGGGTCGCAGTATTGAAGGATGCAGGGGCCCCTGAGAGGTGGTACCTAGTGGGAAGCTTTTTTTTTCCAGACAGGGTCTCACTCTGTAATTCAGGCTAGAGTTGAATTCACTATGTAGCTCAGGCTTGCCTTGAACTTGTAGCAATCCTCCTGCCTCAGCCTCCTGAGTGGTGGGATTACAAGGGTGCACCACCATACCAGGCTAGTAAGAGGCCTTTATTCATTGGTGGCAAGCCCTTGGAGGGGACTGTAGGACCACGGTCTCTTCCTCTTTCTCTATGTTCCTTGATACATGATGTAAGTGATTTGCTCTACCGTGCACTCCTGACATGATGTGTTGCCTCCCTACAGAACCAAAGCAAAGAGTCAGATCAGTCATGGACTGGAGCCTCCAAAACTGTTAACCAAAATAAGCCTTTTTGTCTTAGAAGTTAATTATGTCAGGTATTTTGCTTTACTGACAGAAATCTAACACACTATACCCTTACATTTTAGGTGCATCTCTTTTTTTGTTTGTTTTTTTGGGGGGTTTTTTTTAGGGGTTTTTTGTTGTTGTTGTTGTTGTATTTTGGTTTTTTGTTGTTGTTGTTGTTTTTTTTTTGCAGTACTGGGGATCAAACTCATGACCTTGTGCTTGCCAGGCAGGCACTTATGTCACTGAGCTATACTCCCAGCCCCTAGGTGCATCTCTTTAAGCAGTATATAGTTGGGTTTGAGTTTTCATAACTGTTCTGAAAATTCTTTTACCTTTTAACTGGTGAGTTTATTTCATTTTATACTTATTTGGAAAAACATTTCCATGTGTCCTGCTTTTCTTTGGGATTGATCTGGTTTTGTCAGTTCAGGTTGTCCCCTTTGTTAATTGGAATTCAATTTTTATTGCATTAGTGGCTACCCTGAACATTTTCACAGCATACTTAATCTCAAAAGGGAACATTACTTTCCTTCACTTGAACAATTATAGACTCTAAAATGGCTAACTCTATCCAGGCATGATGGCTCACATCTGTAATCCCAGCTACTTGGGAGGCCAGGCAGGTGGACCACAGCTTTGTGGTCAGCATGGGTAACTGAGGGAGAACTTGTCTCAAAATAAAATATAAATAAATAAAAGGAGCGGGGATAAAGCTCAGTGACAGAATGCCCTCTGATTTGATCCTCAGTACCCCCCAAGTTGTAACTGCAAATACTCCTTCCAAATCTTTTCAGTACCAAACCTATTCATACAAGCCTTCTAAAGCAAACAAAATTCATTTTTTTGTTTCTTCATAGGTTATTTTTTTCTCTAAGGGGATATCATATTGAAGGTGCCATCTTTGTCCAGGGATCTCAGTTACAAATCTTCACCCTCCATAAGCCCAATTCTCCACCTTCTTGTCATTATTTTGTCATAAAGATCCATACCCTTCCGTTATTAGATGAGTAAATGTGCTCAAACCATCCAAAGGGTCAGTGCCAACTTGTCACTTGGTTTTCAGATACCCTTTTTATTTTGGCACTACAGATTTCCCTTTTTTTATTTTTATTTTTTAAAGAACTGGTAATTCAGGGCTTGGGACAGAGCTCAGTGGTAGAGTGCTTACCTAGTATGCACTAGGTTCTCAGTTTGATCTCTAGCACTGCAAATTTAATCAATCAATATAAATAAATACATAATACATTTAAATGGATATTTGCTATATTTTTGTAGCTGTTGTGAGTATGTGGTTTTTGCTTTATGGTTTGGTAGGGGTTTTTTGTTTGCTTTTGGTTTGGTTTGGTTTCGTTTGATAGTATCGGGGATTGAATCCAGGCAGGGCCTTTGCACTGAGTTTGTAGGTGTTTTTAGCAGGTTTTTGAGGTTTCTTTTTCAAATTTTTTCTCTCATTCTTTTACATTAGAAATATATTTTTCTGCATCATCTTTTTCTTTTATTGTACTGGGAACTGAACTCACAACCTCACACTTGCCAGGTAGGTACTGTGCCACTGAGCTGTATCCGGGGCTGTACCATCTGGTTTCAAAGTTGTATTTTCATACTTTTATACTTATAGAGGTTCCCCCTAATTTATCTAGACTCATTGTTTTCCTTATGCATGACTAAAGTTCGCAGTATTTAAATCTTTACCAGCAAATAAATTAAGAATCTTGGCACACTCCTCCACCTCTCCTTCTTACCTTGCCTCCCTGATGTTTTGGAATCACTTAGAACTTTAATTCTAGATGGTTAGGGATATATCCTTTTTGTTTATTTATTTCTACTTATTTATTTTGAGACAGAATTTCACTATGCAGTTCAAGTTGGCCTAGAACTCATTTTGTAGCCCAGGTTGGCCTTGAACTCACAGCGATCCTCCTGCCTCAGCCTCCTGAGTGCTGGAATTACAGGTGTGTGCCACCATGCCTGGCTTGATATATCTTTTTAAAATGATTTTTAGGTACATTTCTAATTTTTTGTACCTTCCATCCCATCTTATCCTTTTGTCTTTCAGTGTAATGAGTGTTATTTGAATGATAAATGAAACAATAGATTTGGTAAAAAAGCAACATTTTTGTTTGAATCTTTGTCATGGACTTAACTATACATTAACTTAGTCTTTGCCTTTACATAATTAAAAATTTTAAAGGGCACTTTTCAAAAACTCTTTAAGCAGTCTTAATTTTGCTAGAAATTTTGTTTGGGATTCCTAAACCCCAACAATCTCCTTCCCTGTCGATATGCTTGTTAGGACATAATTGTCAAGTAAATTTTCAGCCCAACTCATCTCTTATTTTTCTTATTGTGGTAAAAATACACACATTTGCTCTCTTAATTTTTAAGTGTACATTACAGTATTGTTAACTAGTTGTACACTGTTATACAACAGATTTTTAGAATATTTTAGAACATCTTTTATGACTGATAACAACACTTTATAAACCCTGGCAATCACCATTCTACTTCCTGATTCTATAAATCTGGTTACTCTAGATGCGTCATACACAGCCATATTTAGTAGTACACACCTGTAATCCCACTACCCTTGGAAGGCTGAGGCAGGAGGCACACAAGTTTTAGATCACCTTGGGTAACTTAGTGACTTTAAAAAAAAAGGAAACCTCATACAAGTGGAATAATTCAGTGTTC